ACTGAGGTGACCGATGTCTGTATCTTTACTGTTTGCTGATCCTGACTTGTAATGGATTTACTTCCCTAATGACCCCCCATTGTGAGTATTGTCTGTGATTCTGTAGGCCTGTGTAAGAGGAGCGGTGAGTGTCAGAATAGGTAAAGAAGGAAGGAACATGCAGTCATGTCTGCCATCTCTCTCCTGGCCTTGAGGAATCCTGAGGAGGTCATGAGATGGGCAGCCGGACTGCTCCGAGGAGGCACGACAAGCCAGGCTTCATCTCACCTACTTTGGATGTGCTGTCAGGAGATAACGGCCAGTCCCTGGAGAAGGATAGCGTACTTGGTAAAGTAGAGGGGCAGAGATAAAGAGGGCAAAATGACATAGTGATGGCAAAAATGGGTTCAAACATTCCAATGGTGAGGATGGTACCAAACTAGGCAGTTTTTGTTCTACAGTACACAGGGTTGCTATGAGTTAGAACCAATAAGGTAGCACCTATCGACATCGAACTTTAATGCTGAAATAACGTATGCTACCAATCTGAAACCTATGGCCAGTGACATCAATTTCAACACACGGAGACCACACGCAAGTGCAGCAGAGTTGATCCACAGCGTTTCAAAAGTTCTATGCTTTTGGAAACTGATGACCAGGCCTTTCTTCTGAGGCACTCCCTGGTAGGTTCGAAGCACCAGCAGTTTGGCTAGCAGCCAAGCACTTGACTCTACACCATCCCCAAATACCAAGCAAACTCAAAGCCATTCTGACTCATTGTGAATAGAGCTACCTCTTTGGGTAGCCGAGGCTGTACATTGTTTACGGTGCAGACGGCTTCTTCTTCCTCCCACGAAAAGAGGGCTCTACCTGCTCACCTTAGTGTTAGCAGCCACCTGCCACCAGGGCTCCTCTGTACCATCCTCTGATCTATATCAAAGGTCCTTTCATGAATGTAGTGAGTAAGTTTTTGAGCAAAATATTTGATCAAATCATCAAAGGAAGTTTTTATTTAATACTTTTGTGTATTATAATCATCAAGGCACATAAATTTGAGTGCTGAAATATTATCTTCTGAGCTGTTTGGTTAGTTTGTCAAAACAATTTACTGGAAAAACATCTATTACGTATGGTAAGATTTTCTGCAACAAATGTCTTTAAAGATGTCACTTTGAGGACTCAGGTGTGCCCCACTCAAGCCATGGTTTTTCAGTCACTTTACATGTATGCAAAGCTTAATAATGGACAAGGAATAAGGAGAAAGTATGATGCCTTTGAATTATGGTGTTGGCAGAAGTATTGGATGTACCATGGACTTTCAGAACAAAGAAGAGTGCATCCAGAAGGGTCCTGTGACCTGAGGATGAGGAAACTGTCTCTTGGATACAAGATGGGTTGGCATAGTGGCTGTAGCAATGGGCTTAAATGTTTCTGAGGCTGGTACTGACTGGGGTGGCCCATTCTCTGGTGCGTAAGGTTGTCATGAGTTAGAGCCAATTTGGCAGCATCCAACAGCATCCATCACATGAATATTTTAAGATTTTGCTAAATTTTTTACCTACCCTACGCCAAATCGTTTCCTCCCTTTTCCTGGTGAGTTTTTGTCTTGGGCATTTTGATAACAAATATTTCTTATTAAGTAGATGGGATATAAAATATAGATCGGTAAGAATCTATGTATTGGAACTTTCTAGAAATTGTTTTAAGAGATGCAAATCAGTAGTTTCTTTCAGGAAAATACATTTTAACATATCAGACAACGTACAGCACAGCATCCTTTCTTGTGGTTCTCTGATTTTTAATACAGTGAAATGATGACAGGCTCGTTTAATGTGTAGAATAGACACGAGGTGGTGCCAACGTTGAATTCTGCTCTAGGGAAGCCTTGGCCCTCGGATGCGTCTAGTACTAACAGTTAATAGTTCTATTAACAAGAAAACATGATGCAAGAGAATTGACCATGTCCTCTGCTCCCAGATAAATAACTCTTTAAAGTGCCTAAGCAGCCGGAAGTCTGCCTTAATTTGTTTTCGCTTCTATCACATAAAAGTGGTGTCACATCACACTTGCATGTTACCTGAGGAGTGTCTTAAGTCCAGGCCAGAAGGCTACTTGCAGAGTACGATTCAATGACGATATTTGTATGTTCCTAATGTTTGAGACGAGTGAGAGCAGTTAGCTACAGATTTGTGACTGACCTGTGACATAGCAATAGTAGTAATAACTCAGGTGATTACTGTATAAACCATTGCTTTTGTTTTACAAGGGATTGTGAAGAAGATAGGTCAATTAAGACAATTTACTTTCCTTCATTAATTGTCAGGCATTTAATTCAAACAATCGCTTATATTGTTCAGTGCTTGTGCTTTTAGACAACAATTTTACATTCCTGATTATACTTATCTGAAAATACTAATAACAGCACTAGTTATTTTTAAAATGTGTTTGGCCTCAGAGTTTAAAAAGAATTTAATATTTTTTTTCTAAAACGGAAGTTTCTTCTTCGAAAATGGCAACAATGGCCACTTTAAAGAACATGACAGTGCTGCATTTACTGTGTTGTTAATGAGGAGGGATTATTTTTCCATATTTTCTTCTGATGTAACTGGATTCCCCCTGAGCTTTTTAATTCATATCCTATCAGATTGATTCATTTATCAGCATTATCACTTAGCTGGTGAAGAAAGCTAAGTATTATCAGCATTCATCTTACTATGTTTCAAGAAAGATCAGTGATAGAAGCTGCTATTAATGACTGGTAAGTTTTCTTAGAATTGTCTAACGTTTGTGTTACTATGTTACAGGGCATTGTGTCTATCAAGAGGAAAAATATGTAGAATACGAGGGACAGTATGATGCATAGGACAAAGAATGATTCACAAGAAGGATTGAAACCATGTTTAGGGGGTTTGAAATGAGAGAGTCTCAGATGGCAGGACAGTGCTGGGAGTGAAGGGGTCAAGTCATGAAGCCTATGGGAGAAAAAAAAAGGCAGAGGAAGAAATAAAGGTCTGAATTATGCTCGGCTGTTCTGTTTCCATTGACATGCACTCCTTCTTACAACATTCCCTCTCTTCACACACACACAAGAACAAACCTCAAAGTTTTGTACATCTTCCTGCTAATACTGTCTACACTGCTGCTGAATAATATTGGGATCCATTTTAAGTCCAAAATTTGCCCCCATAGCATGTTCAGTACTATATATTTTGAGCTATCTATTGGGAAAATTTGACAACTTTTTCCTTGCCAGGCACCTGTAATTTCTTCTCTTCTCAACATCAATGGATTCAATTGTCTCTTAAATGCAAAGCATAATTGTAGTTTGGAAGCAATATTAAACCTTTACACACTGTACTAAATTATTGTAAACTTATTTGAAGAGGAGTAAATATAGTTTTGTTTTCCTTGTATAAAGAAAACTTCAATAGTGATCGAATATAATATCATCTGGAGATTCTGTTCATGCTCTCCAGTACCCACAAATAAATATATATGTGTATATATATATATGTATATATATATACACACACACACACACAGATATAGATAGATATAGGTATATGACATGAATGGTGTTTAATGGTTTTGACAAGATATCAAGCCTTGAGATTAATAGGAAAGGAAAAACATAGAAGCAGTGCCATTGATGAAACAGATCTTGGAAGTCGAGGCGATAACTACTTTAAAATATCTCCGAGAAACACAAGGGAGGCTTCCAAAATTCATGGAAACGTGACATAGGATATTCTTCGATTTTCCCTCTGAAGTATGCCATCACTGGCTCTTCTGTAGAACTCCTTGCAGGCCTGTCCCTGCCAACTCTGCCACTGGTTCCCTTCTTCGCCTATCCCTGTCTTCAGTGCGACAGACCTTCACCCACATTAGAGCCCTTTGAGGGAGTTCCTTACTTCTATCTTTGTTCCTTCTCTCTTCCTTCTTCCTTCTGCTTTTTCCTTTGCATCTCTTGGGTCTTATGTCTTTGAAAAGGGTTGTACAAGTCACTTGTCAATTTTAAGGTAGGTCCTCCCATCGGGCACAAAGTGACAAGTTCCTTCTCAGTATGCCACTGATATTCCATTGGCATAGTAGACTTCAGATATTGCATTGGCACAATATGTTAACCAATCCCTGCCAGGTGTGATGGTTAGATTGTGATGTTCCTAGGTGAAGATTGGGGTGGATCCCCACCTATCAAGCAGGTCAAAACCTGTTTACACTTCCATGGAGATGGGGCCCTTGGCTAAAGGACACCCATGACTGAGCTCTCTCATGCCCATTGTCCTTATGCTGGATCTGGATCCCCCTCTGGTTCTTCATTCTCCTGTCGTGTTCTTGCCCATTCAAGGAGCCACTAGTGGTCGGATGACCTCAGATTCGTTCAGTTTTTGCCTCCGCTAGCCTATGGCCCTCCTCCTTCAATTTCCTACTTCCTTTTTAATCAGCGTCCACAGCTACGTGTATCGGGAGAAGCCTCCAGCTTGCATCTGAGTTAAGGACTTGACCTGGACAGGCTTACCTAATTCTACAGCTGTAGACTTGGGTGAGCCATTTTTTGATATGAATCTCTTTCTGTGTATATGCAGTCCTCACTGGTTTGGGTACAACACCTTTAGTACAGGGGGTGTTTCTAGAGCAAGAGAATCATAAAGATGAGTTTTCTAAATTGGCTCTCAAGTCTAAGTAGGTCTGATGACATTGGGAACTCTGCCTCTGGCTCCGTAAGTTTGAAAAAGGCTGCCACTGTTGGGAAAGAGGCACGGTGTGGCAAACTTAACCCCCAAAATAGCACCACCAATAGATGAAGTGTTGGTATGAGGTGAGGATCTGGGTGATCGTGTTTTATATCTTTCTACAATTCTGTCAGGATGAGAGGTCTAGGGGAGCTGGTTGGTTGGTTTTGCTTACATGACACTAACTGGTAAAGGAAATCTATGAACTTGGAGCTGCAGGAGCCAAGCCCAAAGGCCAAATGAAAGATCTCAAAGCTTCTGCTTGTTCCATGAAAGAAAGCCTTATCTATACTTACCTGCCAGGGGAGATACCATGATCATGAAGGTGGTTTTCCCAGGGCGAGGCCCACCACCCATTACATTCTGGGTGTGCTGACCCCTGAGATTTCCCCAAATGTGGGAAACTCGACTACCTAATTTGTGGTGGTGGGGGGGACTGCGTTTGCACTATCCCCTGACCCCCACCCATAATTAAAAAAAAAAAAAAGAAATATAATAAATATAAAAAAATAACTGATTATATTGAAAACAAAAACCAGAGTCTTATCATACAAGTAGCCGAATTATGCCACCAGCTTTGTGGCAACACTTGCAGGGTTGGGACCAAGTTTCCCAGGAGACTACATTACCTCAAGCCAGTGTCCTCCAATACCCAGGATTCATGGGTCAGGAATGAGGTGGTAGAAATAGTGTCACCACTCACTAGTACTACTAATGACCCACTTGCCACATTTCTGCTTCCTGTCCCTGTAACCCTATGTTCTTCAGGTATGTGGGTCTTAGTTCCAAAGGGAGGAATATTCATACCTAGAAACACTGCATTGATTCTATTAAATTTGAAGTTTAGAATGCCTCCTGGCCATTTTAGAATTCTCATGCCTCTGGACCAACAGGCAAAGAAGGGTATTGAGTGGCATGCTTGATCCTCGTTACCAAGGGAAATTGGATTAGTATTATATAACAGATGTAAAGCACAATACTCTGGAGTTCTGGAGATTTCTTGAGTCATCTCTATGTCCTGTGATTAAAGTCAATTGTAAACCACGTACCCCAGTTCGAACATGACTACTGTGTCAGTATGGGTAGACTAGAGAAACAAATTCATAGACACTCATATGTGTATAGGAAAGAGCTTTATATACAAGAGCAATTGAATATTAAAAAAAAATCTCAGCCCAGTCCACATCAAGTCCATAAATCTAGTATTAGCCCATATGTCCAATATTAAACTATAAATTCCTCTTCAGACTCATGAAACACATATAATGATGCCAAATGCAGGTTGATCATAGGCCAGTGGGTGGAAAATCTTGTGGATCCAGTGGTGGTGTAAGCATCTCAGCGCTGGCAGGGGCCTCCACGTGACTGCTTCAGCTCCAAAGCTCTGGCTGCCATCAGCCTGTGTCCATGTGACTTGTCAACTGCAATGTCTCCCAGGGAATGAACATGTGTTCCACCTCAAATGAGGTGTTTATCTCCTTAGCACCCCCAAATGAGGCCATCAAGCTGCCACTTGACAGACAGGCTAATCTCCACCCCTTCACTCTTAATCCTCTCAAATTGACAACAGATTATGTAACTACCACAACTACTAGTGGCCCAGACTCTTCAGGAATGAAGATTGAGTCCCCCTACAAGCAAATAATCTCAACTAGTTGAGGTACTTGCTGAGAGCAAAGGAAATACCAGATGAATAGTGGAAGAAGGTAATACTAAAAACCAGCTATGGCCACATGGCCAGTTGTAGAAATGAGAACTGGAATTGATATGAGTCATTCCTATCTGTATCTATGCATCACATATTTTTGTTTTGTTCATCTTAAAATTTAAGATGAAGATGGGGTGAGTGTGCTTTTGGCTGTGAACATTTGCTCAGGTATAGTGATCGTTCTCCCAGGTGGATACTGGTACCACCCACTTCTCAAAAGGAGTGGTGGCCTGGTGGCAATGCAGAGACCACACAGGTAGAAGAAGGCAGCACAACAGGCGTATTAATCAGTAAAGTTAGGATGCGCAGGGCCAGACCCTCAGCAGGTCTGCACTTCCCCATGGGTGAGAGTAGTTAGCCCCTGAGCCAAGCTGTGGGCCTTTTTCTACCTCTGGCATGCAAGGGCTCTTAAGCTCAGGGCTGGGGATTTTTAAAAAAAGGTGGCTGTGCCTGATTGGCTGGAACTCAAGTAGTGGTCTCTTATTGGGTAAGACTCCAGCAGGCGTCTCTCATTGTCTGGTACTCATCCGTTAGATGGGTAGGTGGCTTTTCCTGTGCTTATCATCGTGTTAGGCGGACATATGATTTTATTATGGTCTTGGAGCTTTTGTGTGGTTAAAGAGCTGTATGCAGGTATGTAGTTGACAAGGGTTGGTCTCTGGTGGTTAGATGTTATGGCACCTCAGTGCATCTGGTGAGGGAGAAAGTAGGGGGTGGAGCCCAAACCTATCTATCAGGTCATAGCCCGATGACATACCCTTGGGGAGGTGGCCTTTTATATCAATCTATGAGCCGAACGGAACTCTCTCTTGCCTCTTTGCCTGCTGGCAGATCTGGGTCCTACATCTGGTTTTCCAATTCCTTGTCATAACCCTGCTGATTTCAGGAACTACAGCCAATGGCTGACCTTGGATTCAGTCTGTGAAAGTGAAATTCGTTCAACCCTGCAGCCATCAGCCTCCGACCCTCTTGTTCCTTTTTCCTGCAGTTACACAAGTCAGAGAAGCTTACATCTGAACCACAGACTTGGAAAGCCTGTATTTACCTCATTTTACAATTGTGTAACCCATTGCTTGATAGCATCTCTTTCTCTACACATGCAAGCATCACTGGATTGGCTCCCCCGAGAAGCTAACAAAACACAGAGGTTTGTATGACTCACAGGGAAGGCGGAACCCTAGCCTGGACACAAAGTGCTGAACCACAAGTGGTTGATAGCTGGCCAGGGGAATATTAATCAACGTGGACAAAAGTAACAAATGTTTTAAGATAGAAAACTAGGCCATAGGTTACTCTTTGGAGGCAAGGGGAATTGGGGAGATTTCTCAACGTCTTTTAAAGAACCAAGGCAAATGCAAAAAAAGGAATGTATTTCATTACATATATTAATTTTAAAAGTCATGTTATAAGTAGTGTAATAAGTAATAAGAATGATGGAATAAGTAATGAGCAATGACAAATTCTAAAAGAATACTTACTACTACTAATTAATTGTACTTCTTTCTCAAGATGTATCTGGGACATAAAGCAAATCCTGTCTGCGCCATAACATGGTTTATACTTTTTGGAATACAATAATGTGTACTTATTATTTCCTCATAAAAAGCTAGTATCTTTTTATTAGTCTGATAGGGCCAATTGAATGACACTGTAAAGATTAATGGTGATCCTGTGATTTTGAAGACAAGATATATTTTAAATTTTACTGATTTTATTGCTCTCAGTCTCTTGCCAAGTAATGCAAATATAGACATGATTCTGTTGCCAAGGGCTAAGGTTATGCTTCCACATGAATAGATGGGCATATATAAGTACTTTGCCTTTTAAAAGTCTAATATTTAATTATAAGATATTGATATTTTTTGACCGTATTTTGAAATAGAAATTTGTTTTAGGAAGCTCCTGTAACATTGTGGAAGAGAAGCAGGGTACTGGGTCCTGCTCATTTTGACATCTTAGAGTCGTTTGTGCATTTATAGAAACAGAGCTGACACATCATCCATCTCCCTTGAATTAAAAAAGAAAAAAAAGACTGCCACCTTATGCAAATGCAGAACTTTTTATTTTGCATTTGTTTGAGGAACATAAATTTAGATGGAAATTTCCAGATAAAATTCTGCTTATTCCCAGGTTAACATGAAGAATATTTTTAAAAATAAATAAGAATAACCAAGAACATATGACTACTATTACTGAGCATTAAGAACATCCACAGAATCCAAACTCTGTATAAAAATTTTTCAAACAAATGATTTCAGGTGAGCAAAATTCACATGATGTTAGTTAGGAGTTCTTCAGTCATTTCCGACTCCCAGCGACCTACATACACCAGAACCACACAGAGCAGTCCTGTGCCGTCCTCATCATTGTCTGTTTGAGCCCAGTGCTACAATCACGGTCATCAGTCCATCTCTTTTTCGATGACCCGCTACTTACTGTCTTCCTCTAGAGAATGCTCCCTACTAATACATGGCCAATTACACGAGACACAGCCTCTCCCTCCTCGCATCTATGACATTCTGACACTTCTTTTTCCAAGATAGATTTGTTCATTCCTCTGTAAGTCCATAGAGCATTCATTATTCCTTGCTAATGCCATAATTCAAATCCAGCAATTTTCCTCACTCATTGATCCAATTTCATACCCATATTGGACAATTAATGGTTTGGGTTAGGTGCACCGTAGTCCTCAAAGTAATGTGTGTGTTTTACAACACGATTGAAGAGGTTGTTGCAGCAGATTTTCCCAATACAATATCTTATGGGAATCATTGATGTGTATCTTATTTTCAAGTGATTACTGTGTTCTTACCAACCACAGCTTATATTCTTGAGTATTTTATCAGGAATGGGTGTGGGATATTTGAATGCCTTCCTTTTCTGCCTCGATTGATATGATCAGGTAGTTCTTATTTTTGGTTATATTTATATAGTGGATCACATGGATTGTTTTTCCAATGTTACTTCATCCTTGGATGCCTGATATGAACCCAACTTGATCGTGGTGTTTTAAAAATACATATATTACTGAATTCTATTGACTGAAATTTTGTTACAATTTTGGGTCGAGGTTCTTAAGAGCTATTGGTCTGTAGTTTTCTACAGTGTCTTTCATTTTTGGTTTGATGGTTATGCTCACTTTAAACTGTCCTCTAGTTCTTAAATGCTTCCTCCCCCCCACTATCAGGATCCCAATTCCACCTTAAAAATCTGGCTAAACCAGAGGATGTACATTGGTACAGCTAGGAACTGGAAACACAGGGAATCCAGGACAGATGATCCCTTCAGGAAGGTGGGTTTGAAAGGGGGAACTGATTACACGGATCTACATATAACCTCCTCCCTGGGGGATGGACAACAGAAAAGTGGGTGAAGGGAGATGTCGGACATTGTAAGATATGCCAAAATAATAATAATTTCTAAATTATCAAGGGTTCATG